TGGGAGCAGATCTGGGATCACAGGAGCTGTCAGATGTGCTGCACCGGGTCAAAAACAACACGCTAAACATGTGAGTGTGAAAAATAGCACAACGAGACACAGCAAAGATGCTGGATGTGCTAAAGCGATCTGCTAACACGCGGAGAGAGACCTGCCAGGGAGTTATCGTAGCGTACTATCTTTGATCCTTTCAAATATTTGCTGAAATCTGTCAGGTTGCATTTTTCTCCTGGTAAACAAACAAGAAAATTGCTACTGTGTTTATTTTAGGTCCCGGTGGAAGCGAGGGAATTACAAAGCAATTCGGTGTGTTCTCTACAAATTATCATGAGGCCCATGCTTTCATTATTCTCAGGCTAGAAATAGCAGCATGGCAAAATGTGTTGAGACCACTTCAGTTTTCACAGGGATTATGGAAGTGGGAAAATCAACAAGCATAAATCAGGAGTCTATTTTGTATTCAGACACTAATACAGTCATGAGAGCAATCTCCAATGTGTTGTTGCATTTGTCGAACACTGCAAGCTTTACAAAGAGTTTAGTTGCGTTTAAAGCAATTTCATGTGTTATCATTTCATGTCATTGCATTGCTCAAGTTGGAAAGCATAGAAATCACTCTTTAACAACAGCTCTCAAAAGCTTACAAATCCGGACAGAATATAGAATTTCTTGGCCATTTTTCAGTTTGGTTCTGGGAAGCCATTTCTTGTTATGGACGGTTACTTTTAGCCATTAAGGGCATGGTCGCATAGGTTTTTACAAATGAACTAGGCCAAATGGCCTGGAGCGTCGCCTCAAGGGTGTGCAGATGGCCCGCGGTCACAAGGGTTTTTTTTTTTTCAACCATGCCAGTCCAAATGCGCTGTTGTACAACGCTGGGTCCAGCTGCTGCGGTACTAATATTAACTTCAGCGACAACCTCGTTGTTCGAGTTTAGTTTCAGTTTCTCTTCCTGTTTACACTCGGCTGCTGTGCGCATGGATCTAGACAGTGGCCAACAGCTCGAGCACGGGTCGCATTCTGTGACGCAAGACATAATGTGACGCACAATATCACGTCCCCTCCACACCTCATTCCCCACTCCCCGCCACCCCCCACATTTACCCCCCTTATTGAGGCTTTACAACCGTGCTCAAGCCCACCACTCCCAATCGTGCTCAAGCATGATTGCAGCAAGCTTTGACCGCAGAAAACCTGAAAAAGCAGCTAAACACACCTGGTAAAATCCGCCCCGCAGCATTGACACAAAACTTCAGATCAATATTTTGAACCGGGCTCTAAAACCCTTTTTGACTATTGAAAGTATAGTGTTTCTGCAGTGAGAACTACAGGTGTGGAGCACAGAATGCAACCCATTCCCTTACAGCTGTGATTGGACAGACAACTGCTACCACTGGTGGAGACCAATGACCTTTGGCACGTGGAATAGTCCTTCCTTTGTAAATGATCTGCCCAAACTGATATTAGTATTTGTAATGCACAATTCATGAGAACTATTGCGTCTTTGGTTTATTCTTACAAGTCTTAAGTCTACTCTTGAGCTCAAAGCCACAGCCTAAAGTCATCAGGCAGAGTGTCCCATTTATAAATGCCACTTTAACTTAACTTTAATTTTTAAATTTTCTTTTTTTAATGTCTCTGTTTTTACACAATGCATAATCCCTTTTTCTGCTAATATATTATTTAGTAAAATCCAGTTGGGGCTGTGTGTTTTTTGACAGTGGCATATGCCACAATTATCAGTTATTATTATCAATTGTACGCTTTCATTTAACTATCAATGACATGTTCATTCAAAAGATAAATGACAGAATTTCACCAAGGACATGTAAACCGTATCCCATTGGCATCATCTTCCCACACCAGATCTATATATTTCATCCTCTTTTAAGCCCATGCATCCAAACCGACAATTCTAGTCTATCGGAAAAGTCACACAAAAGAGCCTATTTACATTTGCAGGCAAAGTCAGCAGCAAAGGCCAATTGTTGTAATGTAAATGTGTCACCTTTGTTCCACTCCCAGGGTGAGAGTAGATCCCTATCGCGTCACCTCTGTGTCTAATCATACGAGCTGCAGTCTCTGCGGTGCACCGGAGTGAGCCAGGATCAATAGCGGGCGCCATGTGTGAATATCTCTCAGCGGCCGTGTGAAATTGTGGCAGACGGGCTCCAGGGGCGGCTTAAAAGTGCAGAAAATACAAGAATAAAAGGCGCCTGTGGCACTAAAACACGTCCTATTGTTTCAAAGGGTGGTGTGGAGAAGGCCGCGTTTCAGCCATTTCATCTTGAGACTTTGAAGAGAAAAGTGGAAAGTAAATATGGAGATGATGGGGACGCTGCTAAACTCGGGCTCTAAGTTGGTCTGGGTGACAAAAATCATTGACTTTCTTCTTATTGTGAAACGTGTTGTGTATGTGTGTCATAATTAGCAATGTGCCTTAACTGTATCAAGTCAAATGCAACCCACAAAACCGTTTTGAGTGGCCCCTGACAATTTTGATTCCTAATATTAACCTGCAGCATTGGACATGCCCTAATCCATTGCCATAATTGATATGCTATAGTATTATACAAACTAGTGTCTAAGTATTCCAAGTATTCAGTTTACAGTCATCTGATTGAACTATGTAGCTGTATACAAAAGTATTCTGGATTTATACCATTTTGAAAATTACTTTTAAATCCAGGTCAAAATTTGTTTTCCTGCATACGACAAAAATACTATCTGGAGTCTCTCTCTCTGTCTCTCTTCTTTAGTGTGGCTGTGTGTATGCATTGTATGTAAAAATAAATAATACTACAAAACCTGCATCTTCAAATGTTATTGTATCATCCAAATCTCATCATTCTTTAGTTTCTTCACTTCAAAGTAAGGATGTATTTTTATCGTTCGAATGCGTAACAAAAACACTTGTCAGATGCAGAATAAAATCTCCCCGGGGACCCATGAAATCAAATTAAGACAATGAATACACCTGCCACATTTTACTGTGCTAACACACTTTAACAGCCAAGAGGTGTATTTAGAAAATGTGTTCAGTGAACGGTCTGGGCAGCTTGAAGCTTCGGCAAAAACAACAAATGACTCAACTTTTTGTTTTCCTTTAGTCACACAATGCGATAATCGTATGGGACAGTCATGACGCAGAAGTTAATAAAAAGAATAGGTTTCGATTATTTTTCTAGCACAATACATTGGTTTTATATACTGCTTTTTTGGACACTCAAAGATGAATGATGCTTCATGTCATCATTCATTAACTTCATAAAAGATGTCGGAAAACTACGACTGCAGCCACACTGACAGAAGTGTGGCAATCAGTATGTGCCATCGGCCCCTCTGACCGCCACCAACCATTCACGCACACACATTCTAGGTAATTTGCGTAAATTACATTTTGGCCCTTTACAGCCGCAGCTGCTTCACTCTGGCACCTAGTGTTTACAGAGGTCTCCCATCACAGTGTTAAACAGGTCCTGCCCTGCTTTGCTTCAGAGGTCTGACAGAATCGGTCTTCCACATTTAGGTAGCGCCACATGAATGAAAAAGCAAACCAGATAGAACAAAGACCATTTGAAAGCATACGCACAGAGAGCATATAAAAGCATTTAGATTGTGATGAAAAGTGCATAATGTAACAGTTAAATAGTGAATGGAGGTCAGTGAGGTGAACTGTCTCCCAGCTCCGCGCCAACATATGCACTTCGTTTTGTAATGCATAGAACATGATCTAAGTGCTGCTAAAGAGTGCCCAGATGTGAGGAACAGACACGCCTGGATTTACCGTACAATACTGCTTATTCAGAACACCTCCACCTCTGCCATGGCACCTCTACAACACTTGAGTTGTAGAGGTGTAGTTATTGTACATGACTTATCATTTGTTTGCCACTATTCCATGTTTTCTTGCTGTCACTGTCATAATGTAGCATTCCAGGCACACAATCCACTTTGCTGATTATCTTTGACCAAATAATTCATATCCATGCAGAAGCAATACCACTCTCGCCTGTTAAAGCAATGATTGTGTTTTGTGTACGGAAGTATAGTAGTTGGGATAGTATCTCAGAGCCTGCCAATATGAGACATCTCTCAATACTGGGAACTTTCAATTCAACATGATTCAATAGGATATATAGGTTCGATAAAAAAAAAGGCTTTTGGCGTATACCTAATGCCCCACCCCATTTAAACAAAAAAATAAAAATACATTAATGGTACTATGACAGGAACAATCAGGTTGATTACAATGTTTTCAAGACAAGTTTTTCTTATGTGTCATATGAACCATGGAGCTAGAACAGAGCTAAATGTACCCAGTGCACCCGTGATACCAGCACATGCATTTTTGTTTGTTTTTCCAAGCAAAACACAGGGTCAGTCCTGCTTCAAATCTTGGGACTTCTTGAAAATTAATAACATATTATCATGAGTATGATATCAGCTCCTTTCACCGCCACACTAAGTGCAGCGCAAACAACCTCCTCCAGATATTGCTCCATTACAAACTACAGATTACATTCAAGTCCAGCGCACATGCCTCCAACCGATGCTCTTTGAAAAACGTCTCATCCTCGCCACTAAACGTCAAGGTAATTACAGTTTTCCTACAATCTGTCTGATATAGAAGAAACAACAAATCTAAAGCATGTGTCAGGTTTATGGTAATAGCCATAAGCAGACAGTTAAATCAGACAGAGTTCAGATCGACCCAGCTGTCTTAAATGCAAATGAGCTTTTCCTGTTTACAAAAGCATTGCAACATGAAACCGCACGGTATGTTGCCAACCGACTAAACCCTTGGTAAAACGTCCTTGTCACCTCACTTTGAGCAAAAATCTAATTCCCTACACAACATCAACAATATAGCTGACCCAAGTCCATAACTTTCAGATCTCTTTTCAAAGCAATGCGCCACCTTAGCCTTTTAAAACCTCCTTTAGAAAGCAATCAATAGTCCCTGTGCCACTGCCAATAATACACACTTTGAGTCTCACCTTTCTCACAAGTGCTGTCCCAGAAGCCCGTGCCGGTGCAGTCACACACGTAGCGGTTCCAGCCTTCTTTACACTGCCCGTTGTTCTTGCAGGGGGTACTGTCACAGAGTTTGCCGCTGTGTTTGGTGCACGTGGCCTTGATGCCCGTCACGTTCTGGGCCTGAGCGATCTGGCGGATGTCCTTGCTGCGCCCGTCAATGAAGAGATCCCGGATGCATCCCACGTAGCCGTAGTTAAGCATGGCGGTCCACAGCTCAGTCGGGAGCACGAGGCCCACGCGGTTATCAGGTAGACCGCCCAGATAAAGATCCCCCTCCAGGTCCAAGATCTCGTTCTCTCCGGACGCCGTGAAGGGCGTGCGTCGGCTGTTTACAGAAATAATGCCTAGAAGAAGAAAGGATGTATGTAAATGTCATGGACGCAACGGATTACAATGGAGCGTACATTGACAAAACTCCAAGGATTTTTATGGCATCTTACGACCATTTTAATGCCACAAAAATATTCTTTCCATACTGTTCCGCACACACACGCACACACACACACACACACACACACATGTTGTATCCCTTAAAATATGTATCTCTCCACATATTTTTGTTGATTGTTGTATGTATGTTCTTTTGCAAAATCAAATAATGTTTTAAAAAAATAAATATTTTCTGCCTTTTTTTGTATTCTATATTTTAGGAAGACATAACTTTCTCCTGATGGTGGCTATTGTAGAATTTACTAAATTAAAATATGGTTATTATCTACTGGTTATCTCTAATTGAGGCTACAATGTGAAACTAACGAGATACAGTATAGGAAGCCTTTATTTGTCAGGTTGATAATAAGCTCACGACTGGTAAAAAAAAAACACATTTTAGAAAATTAAAATATTTTGAAAATGGACCGTGAGCCACGTGCACACTAGATTTAAAATAATTGCTGTATTTCTCCGTGGACAAACTAACATATAGTCACATCAGAAGAATTTCAGACTCATCACCAGTGTTGGGCACGTTACTTTGAAAAAGTAATTAGTTATAGTTACTAGTTACTTCTCCCAAAAAGTAACTGAGTTACTAACGGAGTTACTCCACTATAAAAGTAACTAGTTACCAGTAAAAGTAACTATTGCGTTACTTTTTCGTTTTGTTCTGGAACATAATGTGCACTCGACGTGCGCATTTTTACCTTTAACAGTGCCAATATTTCCATCTAGAAAAGGCTGTTTTTCTGCTGAAGTCCTGTTCACTCTCCATCTCTCTCTGTTCTGTAAGCACTAAACACCAACACCCGCCACTGTGAATGTGGAAACACCGGTGACGAGCGGTGAGGCTGGTGAAGCACTGACTTCAGCCCAATCAGATGAACATATACATCATATAAATCAAGTGGACCATTTGTTTGGCTACAGCAAAATATGTTTTATGCCCGCATTGTTTGTTCATACAAAACGCAAAACTATGAGTTATGGGTCTTACCTTATAGCTATACCTTATAAATGACCTGCACAGTCCACTTCGGTTCAGACCAGTTCCTTGTTTAAGTCCAGTTAATGGTTTGAGCGTAGATATGTAATCCTCCATTTGGAAATGAGTCCAATGAGTTTTAAAAAGTAAAACAAAACGCGTGTGTCCTCCGTAAACTACTCTGTTTTGCTGCAGCCGGCTGCATCCAATTTCTAAAATCAACCGTCTTACACTTCACCTCTTTCTTATCATTCCTATAGTAATTGAAAAATTACCCTGTGTGCATTTTAGATTATGTAAAAATGTGTTATATGTGTGTTAGCCAAACCTGTTGCTGTCCTTAGCAGATAAACCAGGAAGAGCAAGGAGCTTATCGATGGAATTGTATGCAGCCGACTTCTGCGCTCACATGAGCTCCTCTGTGGCTGACCTCACGGTGATACAAGCCGTGGTTGAGCGTGATTAAGACCCATATTTGTTTCAAAAACACAATTTATGAGCCATCCTCTCAACTGTAGACATGTGGATTGTAAAGGAAATATGTTTTACATCAGCCAATAATTGCTGAGAGGTTTTCTCATCCTCCCTTCTCTCATGACAACACGTCCATTGTGCGTCTTGAGTAACGCGCAGTAACGGGATGTCGGAAATGATAACGGCGTTATAGTTACTGTCAAAGTAATTAGTTAGATTACTCGTTACTGAAAAAAGTAACGCCGTTATTCCCATCACTGCTCATCACAAACATCAACTCAAGTAAGAAATCAGTGTATTATTGTTAGTGAACATGATGAATTTTCCCCAAATCACAGAACAAATAAATAAATCTATGAATATGTGAAATTGGAACCTATAGTTAAAACTGACTACTTTAAGAACTTTGCTGGATGATTTCAAGACAAATTGGAGATTGCTATAACTCAACACCATATGGTCTGGATCCTTAGAGGATTTTTTTTCTTCTTAGCGTTTTGCCAAAATAGTTCTGTTTTAAATGAATGGAAGTGTAAAGAGACTGAATGCAAAGCTTACAGACGACTGTTCTGGTAAACATGGAGTGCAAACAAAAGCCCTGTCCCAAGAAAATGTTGTGCATAATTATGTGCAACCCTATCAAATGACATGACATTTCTCATCTAATATTGTCTGCTTAAAGGTTTTTACTAATTAATTATGGCCATTTCCAATTGTTTCGTAGAGGGCCATTAGTTGGGGCATAATAATGTCTTTCTGCCAAAAAATAATGTTTTGAACCAAGTAGGCTTTTGTTTTCACTTTCCCTGATTATGTTTCCAATTAGAGATGCATTTTTCAACAACTTTTCTTTGTTTACCCAAGCATGAAATAATAACAGGGATTTGCTTAAATTAATTCATGACTTAATATCATCACACCCTTCGGTTGTATTTAATTGAATTCTAATTGAAACAAAGAGTGGCCACTTGTCCAGGCACTCATGGGTCAATATTATCATGTATTAAGAATTTGCCCAACCTTTAAACATAAATCTCTTCCTCTCATTCTGAAGAGGACATACTATTCAGATTAGAGCCTCTTCAGTCCTGCACCGCACAGCCTCAGTCCTCATTCTACAGTCCTGGATCTCAAGCATGTACTATAGTTTTGTTTTGTTTTGTTAATCTGGAAAACTTAGTGACACTAATAAACATGTATGGGCATTTACCCCCACTCCCTATGAACCAAGAGATCAAATGTGTTTGTCATTATTGTATTTCCTGTGTTCAGAATGTTTGATTCTCTGATCTCTTGTTGAGGAATCAATAACAGTCCTCCGAGACGACTGCTGTTGTGGTTTAGGGCTGTAAAAAAAGTAATTGGAACTGTATATTATTTAGCTAGTTTTACCAATCATGTACTTTTGAGATTCTTGTATTTGAATAGCATTTCAAATTGGAGTCAAATTGTAATATCCTTTGTCGTTTGCCATTTGAGCAAAATCCAACTCAAGCACACTGAACTTCTTAGCATTTCCATTGTTACCGTCACAATACTGTACATACATAATTTTGCTCACCTAAGGCTCCCTCCACCGCAGCCACAAGTATAGCTGTTCCTTACCTGTGTGGCTGCATCTGGTATCAACATATCTGTCTCATTTATTTTTTTTTGTGTTGAAATTCTAACTCCCCTCTCTGCTATCGCACTGGGGGCCTCGCCGGTGATTAATCAAAACGCCATGCTCTGACACGCGGCTAAATTGGCTGTTCTAACCTGATATATAACACAGGCCTGGCGCTCCCGCTAACTCTCCCAGTCCTCCAAGGATCCCAGCTAATGCCGAGATTGCGCTGGTTTGGCTGCTCAAGGCTACACAAGTTTCTAACACTTATTCTCTAATAGAATCTGGGGCTGGGGCTTCAGCCGTGTTTTGAGGTCGTTGGACATACACACGGGGAGATGAGGGCTTGTATCTCTATATACAGTAAGGAGGAATATGAGTTTGTGTGAGCTATAGATCATGTCTGAATTGAGTGTGTTGAAAATGCCCACAGCTGCAATGTGGAAGCAAACACATATATAATAGTCATAGTCTGGCATGACTTAACCCTCTTATTGTCCTGGGGGTCAACATCCTCATACCTGCAGGTGTAGAGTACATTTGAGTCGATACATTTTGCTCTATTTCCACAAGAACTTTGACACTGTACTTCCTGAACAATGGGCATGAAGATGTGTGTGTGTGTGTATACAGATTTTCCCCGCACTGTCTAGGTCGGGATTTTCCCCAAAGGACATTGGTAGTTCATGGTTCCAGAAAAGACTGGTGTGGCTGCAGGATTTCATTCAATTCAATTATCTTTTTTCCAAACGTCATCGTCATAAAGGTCATACACATTCTATGTGTAAAGTGTGTATAGGTGCTTTGTAAAAGGGGCTGCAATAGCTTATAGACGGGCCCCAAAAAGAATACATGTAAAACAAATGTGAAAATGTATACCTTTATACATTCCCAAACCCATTTTCTTAACATGTTAAAGGGCCAGACTGGCTGCAGGATTCTAACCAAGGAGTACACCAGACTCCACCCATTTCCTCAAGTCTGGTGTGCCAGACACCACTGCTTTATAACCACACATGATTCACCATGATTCTTTACCTGTAATCTTTTGATTAAAGATTACAGGTAGTGCATCTTTAATCAAAAGATTCATTACCATGATCATAACCCATCATGACCTATCATTGCCCAAGTCATCCTGGTCAAAACAGAATATAGGATCCTGAGGAATTATGATGAACTATTGGTTAGTTTTTGATGTAACTAATGAGTACATGTGTTTAATGGTGAATGAATAATTATGAGTTATGATTCTGAAACTCATGGATATTATTTTCATACTCATTAGAATGGACTGCGATTGATGGCACGAGTTCTGGTGTGTTCTCTGGTGGACGCTGGTGAAGACAGTTATTCCAATGTGGTTTACTACAAAAGGCAAATAAACTGAATCTTGAATCTCAAGACTATTAATTAACTATTAATTAGAGCAATATTAATAGTTATTATTCAGTGTTAGAAAATAGAGAATGTGCAGTTTTAGTGGTTTAGTTTTATAAATGCATGATAAATCAGTTTTAAACACACATGCAGATCCTTGATAATACTTCCAATAGTGAATGAACCGCACACTAAGCTCAAACACTATATAAAGTAGGAGTCATATTACGTTTTTAAAGTATGGATTCAACCTAAGCCATTTCTACTGGGAGTAAATTCACCAGTCCAGTTTAATCATTTGTGTACCGTATTTAAATTTACAATTATGATGTTGACAGTGTGTTGTATTTATGATTGCCCTTACTCCCACTGCCACATAAAAGATTCTGTGCAATCAGCCTTGTGCCTGGCCCAGCACACTCAATGGCTCAAGGCAACATGTTTTTAATTGAAGCTCGACTCGTGCTTCCTGCTGTCATGTAGTCCTATATTTGTGGATATGAAGGGAAAAGCAAAAATGAACGACAGCCTACTACCTCTCCCAGACACCAGAGGCCAGTTGTATAAATCCATTTAAACTGAGCCCACGATCTGACACAAGCCTGGAATGCACAATTGACCTCCGATAGAAAACTGTGAATTTTGTTTCTTGCCAACTATAAACAATGTGAAATACTAATGTGGGTATTTATTTGGTTTCAATTATACATCAATTGCGAGAAGCACATTGAATCACTTATCAGGTTACAGTACTGATGAGGTTACTTACTGTTATTTAGAGCCAAAATGATTGGAAATAGCTACATTCACATTTTCATCACTTATTTTTTTGCAAATTGATTTTCTGAATTGTAAGTTTAACCATGAGGCTCACCCTTTCATTGACATGTTTCTGGGAGACGAGTTTATTCAAGTTTTTCTTTCATAACAATAGTGGCAAAAGCTCGTCATGGAGATTAATATGAAACTGATCTGTCTCTGTGAAAGCAAGGACATTCTACCAACAGGTCAGACGCCTTCTCTATAAAACGTATAAAGAAAAGCTAACCATGATTGAGAACCAACCTTGCTGAGCCAATCACCTCTCAGCTCACATAGAGTTAGTTTTTTTAGCCAATTGCAGTAAACAACTCATTAGAAATTGTCCCCTGCATTTGACAAATCTTTCAATGCCACAAGGGCACTCTGTAAGGTACAGTGTAGCTGGTCCAATCTCCAACTGCTGATCCTCAGTTTGGTAAGGACTACCGGAGCTGGAGAATTTGACCTATGATGCATATTTTGGGTGGTGTTGGGTATTGGAGCACCTGGGGAAAACCCACCCAGAAAAACGGGGATAAATAATAATAATATTGTTTTTTAGATTTTTTTCAGGACACTCAAAGACGCTTCACATGTCTTTATTCTTTCACTCCAAACACGGTCGTAATAAACTACTACTGTGGCCACAGCTGGCCTGGGGCAAACTGACAGAAGCGAGGCAACCAGTATGTGCCATCGGCCCCAGCGACCACCACCAAGCTTTCACGCACACACCAGACTCATTCCAGGCAATGTGGGTGAAATGTCGTGCTTAAGGACTCAACAGCAGTTTGGCACTTTACAGCCGCAGCCGCCCCACTGTAGCACCGTGACTGTGAAGACGTACTGTATACAGTGTAGTTTTTTTTGGCAGTCTCCAATAGATAACTTGTTATATAAATAGATGAAAACAGCTATAAAAAAAGATTTTCCAGGAGTAAACCTTTAAATAGAATTCTCACCTGATCGCCCATCTCTCTGGATGTCCACATGATGCCAGTTCCCATCATTGACTTTGGCCTGCGTAGCTTTGACTTTGATGGTCCCAGAACCCATGTCAAGCAGAAGATACAAGCCTCCGTCCAGCATCTCCACGGCGAAGAAGTCCACCTTGGTGTTCTTCTGTCCTTTGGCGTCCCGTCTGTCCTGAGCCTTGCCCTGGGTGAAGAGAATGAGGCCGTTGGGTTCGGAGGTGCGGAAGTCGAAAGAGATGGAGCCGACCCTCTTGGTGTTCCACTTGGGCAGAGACAGAGAGGACTCCGGGCTCTCGAAGCTGATGGGGTCCAGCGTGGGAACATTCTCACACTTAAACACAATGTCGCCTTGGAGCTTCATCTTTGGGTCGACGATGCGGGCCAAGCGAGACAGCTCCAGGCGGATGTCGTTGTTCTTGTACACCACCTGTAGATGAGAGACAAAATATATTTTGAATTTAAAAATTGGGAGCTGAGGAACCTCACTTTCTAACCAGACTCAATTCACTGAGTACAATCTGACTAGTTCCTAGCACTCACTCTAGTTTCTATTCACGTTTTGTTTAGCCTCTGTCACATCTTCTAAATCAGCCTTTTCAGGCAGAATAGAAAAAGAGAGGACTACTTTTCAGCCCAAAGGGACAAAGACGGTTTAAAGTGATCTTATTTGTTCACATTTTCGTCTTTTAGTAGACGAAGCAAAAAGTTAGATGCCCATGCTTTTAGTCCATACTGGTCATTACATTAACACAGTTATCTATTCAGTCACACTGTGCCTCATTTATGAAACTTGCGTACGGCCAAATCAGGGTGTAAATGAGGCGTACGCAAAAAATGTACACTTTTCGGCATTTATCAATCTGAGCAGTCAATAGGGTGCGCAAAAAATATATACGCCAGGTCTGGAGGTGGTGTAAATATATGCTCATTTCAACTTTCATTACAACACGCCAAAACACGCGTGAAATTCAAGATTTGGACAACAATAAACATATTCCCACTCTGGCAAAATTATAAACTGCGTTTTCATTTGAATTTGCGCATCAGAAAAAGTCTAATGGAAACACACAAGCCTTAGGACCCTCTTCTGTTTCTTCGTTTTTAAATCCGATGATAATGATAATAATGATAATAAGAACAATAATAATGCATTGAGTTTATAGCTCATTCACTCCATACATGGTGGTATTAGACTACTACTGTGGCCACACTGGGGCACACGGATGCAAGTGAGGAAACCGGTGTGTGACATCAGCCCCTCCGACCACCACCAACACACACACCAGACTCATTCTAGGCAGTACGGGGGAAGTGTCTTGCCTTCACTATGACAGTTTGGCACTTTACAGCCACCCCACTGCAGCACCTGGTGTTCCCAGAGGTCTACCATCAGTCCTAACCAGGCCCTGTCCTGCTTAGCTTCAAAGGTCTGATGGGATCTGACTTTCACAGTGGTGACTGTGACCACAATAAGTGGTCATTTTCCACTCAATACGCACAGCTGCTGAATTGCCTGATAATAAACCTGGCTTTCTAGTGCCAGTCTTGTTGCTGCTAGAAGCTCCCTCCCTAGAAATGTCCTTCATTAGATAAATTCATCATCCCATGTTACAAAATGTGATAAGATGGCTCTATATCAGATGAAAACACAATGCCAATTTAAAGCAAGATCAATACAAACATAATATTGTTTCTGCCGAGTGGTTATGTGGCCATACATGTCTCGCACATTTTGGATATCAACTTCAATTTATCCGTGATGAAAGAGGCGACCACCCCACCATTCCTTGATTGAACACCCGCCGAGTTGAAGAAGCAATGGTTAAATTAGTGAAAAGCCATTACGTGTTATGTTCGAAGTGCTAGAGTGAATTCCCTCAGAGTACTAGTGACCCGCAGAGAATAGATCCAATAATAGCTATTTACCAACTGTACATTCGTCCAACTTCTATAGTATTAGTAATGAGAGAAGCAAAAAGAAGAGTGTTGTGCACAGAGAGGCATCGAGGCAGAAAATTAATGTACTTTTTTGTGGTGAGGGCTTTTTTGTGGTCGCATATATGCCCCTGCGTGTGTGTCTGTGTGTGTGTGTGTGTGTGTGTGTGTGTGTGTGTGTGTGTGTGTGTGTGTGTCGTTCAAGCGGCCACAGCTGTCGGCAAACAGATTTCACTGCTTTTGGGATTACTGATAATCCTGCCAGATTTGACAGTAAATCAACACAGGTGACCACAGAGCGAAGGAGACCCTGACAAGTGGAGCAAGAGGTCGGAGAGAGAGAGAGAAAGGGAGAGAGAAAGAGAGAAAGAGAGAGAAAAAGTGCCAGGGACAACTGCCAGTTACAAAGAGAAAAGATGTTTTGAGGTAAAACAGGTATGCATGTAAAAATGGGTGCGTACCGATGTTCCCCGGGTCCGATGTTCCCCGGGTCCGATGTTCCCCCACTTCTATAGGCGGGGGAACATCGGACCCGGGGAACATCGGTACTTCGCGTATTAAAAAGTCCCGATGTTCCCCGGGTCCGATGTTCCCCCGCCAATAGAAGTGGGGGAACATCGGGACTTCAACAACGAGACTAGTCCCGCTGTTCCCCGCGTGCGCCCTTTGATGTTTGATGTTTCCTCCTCCACGAAAGATGGCATATGATCCGTGCCAACTTTTGTGAGAGAAAAAATACTAACTAGCCTAAGCCTATTTACTTTTCTTTTTCCCTCTCGCTCTTTGTGTGCTCATATTTCAGCTGATCGCAGCTTGAGTCTATGCAGGATATTTTTGGGCATGTTATGGGCATGTTATCTCCCCTTGCTCACTCTCCCATGGGCATCTATATTTGACAAGTCTGACTGAATAAAATGAGGACGATTGAAACTAGAGCTACTACATCTGTTAGCCTATAGTTTTTCCAAATACGTGGTTTTGCTGAGGGCACTGTGCTTTTACGCATAATGGACACGCATATGACGTCGTTTTTGTTGTAAAACTTGAATATGCTCTTTTAGTTTTAGAGATAGTAATACATATTATTCTATTCAGAATGCGTGCGTCATTGTGCATTGTTGTCCCGCCTTACGTGTCACTCACAGTTAAAATGTAAATAACCAATTCAAACATAGCATTTTTACAACTTGAGCTTTAAGAAAAAAATGATCAAAGGAATCAGTGTAAAATAAGATCGGAAAAGCTCAATTCATGATTGTTTAATTAGGTTTCCCATTTTTAAATACAATTGGAAACGCTCAGAATTCAAAAATATTGAAAAGTGTATTGGCTCCTACAGTGGGGGGAATAATAATAATAATATAACCCCCTGAGCGTCATCACGTTCCTACGTTGCTTCAAATATAGTCCTGTTTATTGGCTGAACAATTTTGTCCAATATCATATTACACAGCGTGAAGCGAGAACAACCAGCTATTCCTCGTCTTAAAGATTGACAACGCTCTCAAAGCATTCACAACAGAGCAGCCTTTTTCATTTTAATTTTAAGAAAGTTCAGCGTGAACTTTGTGAGGTAGAGGAGCCAGAGGCCCGGGCCCGTAGGTCCCAGAGGAGGAGAGCGCGGTCAGGCCAGGCTCGCCTCGCACTGATGAGGTAAACTCTAGGCCTGTGTGAGACACACTGTGGGCCTCACTGTAGGCCTCACTGTGGGCCTCATGTGGGCCTCATGTATGAAACCTGCGTACGGCCAAATCAGGGTAAATGAGGCGTACGCAAAATATTACACTTTTCCGCATTTATCAATCTGGACGTGAGCGTACAATACGCAACAAATAAACGCCAGGTCTGGAGGTGGTGTAAATCTATACGCTGAACTCAACCTTCGGCACAACACGCCAAAACATACGCATGAAATTCAAGATATGTACAACAATAAACATATTCCCTCTGGCAAAATTATATGCTGTGTTTTCATTGAGGATCATGTTTCAAAATTTGAATTTGCGCATCAGAAAAAGTCTAATGGAAACACGCAAACTTCGAATAAATCACAGCTCATGATGAGGACCCTCTATTAAATCTGACTTGTGTGTGTATTATTTTGATCTGTATGTTTTTAAAATGTGAAGTGCTTTGTGATCCTGGACAGTCAAAGGCTCTATATAAATACACATACGCAACAGGGATGTGTGACCCATCTATTGCTGTGGCAGGCTCTGCGCTGCGTAATTACGCACGGCTATTTGTATTCCTCATTCACATCTGGTAAAGCAATGTGTTATTTCATTAGATTTGTGTAAGCCTCACACAGACACACACCCCAATAACGCATCGATGGTATTGCTCACTCAAACGTCTCACTGCCCTGTCCAGAGTGCGCAGCGAGTGCCGTGAGAGGTCGCGCCACATGTGCAGAAGTTTTGGCTCCAGAGTTTCTTTGTAAAATCTGGACCGCAAACGCTCTCTGAAGTGTACAGCGCCTCAATGCGCACTTCTACCCCGAGCCAGGCTGCGTCCAAGACGCTGCAGACGCTTCATTCAGAGCCACCGCTGCATAATATATATGAATTAATTAATTCATTCAATCAATCTATATTTATTCACTTCTACAATTCAAGAAGGATTTTTCTAATGTATCAAAACATTTTGGCAAATTGCGTAAATGGAATATACACCCAAAATGTACATCTTTTTCAACGCAAGTTTCATAAATGAGCTTGTGTGTATGTGCGCGCGTGAGTGCGTGTGCGTGCGTGTGTGCGTTTGAACCATATTCTTTGAAACCCCAATTCCAGTTAGCCCTTGTAGTTTTCAAGCGAATTTGGCCTACTTACTAATCTGCAGGCCTACCCAAAATTGCAAACCTGGCGCCAATACTGTTGCCAGGATGAACGGAGGGAGATATGTTTCCAAAAAGAAAAGGTGGTGGAGCTAATTTTACTTTTCTTATCTGCAACACGTTCTTATTCTGAGGTGGTAGGTTGTAAAAATGTAGTTGGCTACCAATGCGAGATCTACAAGGCTTATAATATAAAGTATTCAGTAGCCCTATGAGCGAAAGCCGCTTGTTGCTCCATTATCCGCGCGCAGCAATAACATGTCTATGAGCGAGGCCCGCAGTCGGGGAACACCGGGCCCTCCGGCGTTTGGAAGGTCCGATGTTCCCCGGGTCCGGTGTTCCCCGCCCCGGGGAACTCCGGACCCGGGGAACTCCGGACCCGGGGAACACCGGACCCGGGGAACATCGGACCCGGGGAACATCGGGCCGACCCCTGTAAAAATGACCTGGATAGTGTGGATAGGAAAGTCAGGGAATCTCTGCTTGGATGGATTTGATAAATTATGACGAAATTTAGCGCAGTAGAGATCATGATGCCTTTTAACTAACCTGAGTTTACATCCCTGTTTTTTTGGATTCCAACAAAAAATTGTATTCCAGAAACTAAAGACATGCCTTGTGCATATTAGTGGGGGTCAGTGGCCACAATCTTT